TGCTGTGCTTTGTCGCCACGCGGGAGCGTGTGCCTTGATGGCTTTGCTTCTGCTTTCTAAAAGGTTGGCATTGCACTCCCAGTTCCGCTGCGCAAAAGAGATTATCTTTGTGAGCTTGCTTTGAACTTTCATGCATGAATCAGTTGAGACATGTTCAGCCCTAGCATCAAAGAATGACAGTGCATGATATGATCCGTCCTTGAGGTCAACTATCCTCTCCATCTCAAGGCACGTTCCGGTTCGATGCTTCGCACGTACCGGGGGACCGGATACCTTCGTAGGTCCTTAATTAGTGCACTGTACATAACTTCACTCCTCCCATTTTCGTTCAGCGGGGGGTGTTGTTTCACGCTAGGATGTCTAATACATGTCTCACTTACCTACCTTTTGGCTCAAGGAAAACCAGGTGCGACTTGTTGGTAGTTCTCGGTCGTTTACCTGTAACTACAGCAATAAAGCTGTACTGTTCTTTTGGGGCGAGTGAAGATAGTGAAGCTCCTGACAGACAGGAAGACGTTGCTTTTTCGCACCTTTTCTCCATGGAGCACTGGCGTAGCACTGGCGTTTATCATTCACGTGGTACTAATGCAGTTGCAAAGTTATATTTGAATTTGGTGGATGCTTTCTTTTCAACATTTCATTCTTTTGACAGCATTTCCGCCTGTTTTTGCGTTTCGCCGCTGGGATTTCAGAGCACGCAGTGTGACCTACTAATTCAGGTTGAGTTGAGGTGGCATCAAGTCATGAAGAAACGGTGTCATGCTTTGGTGACAGGACTGTGTTGCTTTCGTTGATGACACGTCTTTCATCTTCCAACCTTCGGACGTTGCTGCCGATCTTAGGAGGCCACTGAAATCCAATCCCGCTTCCAAGTCCTTCGGTTGCCTGCAATGTCGCAATTCTTTCAACAGGTCGAGGAGAACAACTCCATCGAATTCTGTGAGGTGCCCCTGAGCGAGATCAAATTCGCCGATGTGACTCGACCCAAGTTGACTCACCGAAAAGACAGACCCAGACAGGGCCACCGGGCCACAGGTGGAATTGCCACGGTGTTCAGGTGCAGGAGGAAGGAGCAAGGTGGGCATTTGGCTTGTTGTTTACTACAACTTGGCTACAACTGTCTAGTTTGCAAGTATAGTTGTGTTCTCCACGTGTTAAGCTGATAAGCAAGGAGTAGCCCAGGCATGGAGCTTTGCGCTTTCACGACGGCCCGCAAGGTGCAAGGGGTCCTTCTTGTGGCCCATTCCGCAAAAGGGGAAGGCTCTTTTTTATGAAGCAGTGAGCCATCCGAAGTATCACCCAGAATCCATCCGAATTCATCAAGAGCCTGCGCAGTTCCTCCACCTTTCGGAAGGATCATACCACACATAGAACAATTCATTTGGGCCATGGCCAGACTTCCCGTCCACCAGCTTCACCCGAGGTGATGCGAGGTCACGAGCACCTTGGATGTGGACCAAGAGACCGTGAAATAGAGAGTGCTTCAGCGTGTCCCTGTGGGACGGCTGCGTTGTAGCCAGACGCTGCTGAGAGAGAGAGAGAGAGAGAAAAAATATATATAAACACCCTCACTTCTTTCCACAAAAAATATCTTGACAAGACACACCTTGAGTGGCTGGATTTATATGATGAGCATAGCTGTGCAGGGGCATTCAGAGATTGCATAAACAAGCAATAAAAGGGAAGCCGGAAGGCTCTTGACCGGCACAATCAACCTTGTGTGCTCCCTGTTGGACTAGAGACGCTCGGGTGGATTCTTGTCTTGACGATTCTGCTGGGCTCCCAGGCATGTGATGGAAGTGGAGGAGCACTTCGAGGACCAGCAGCTTGAACAAAAACAGACATTGTTTTATGTTTTTTTCCAAATGGGGAATGCCTTAGTGGTTCACCTTGATATTCGTGTCCCTGTCCAAGTACTCTGGTTTTTAAGTTCCCGATTTAGCAGGAGAAGGGGAATTCCTCATGTTTTAGATTGTTTATATAACCGCTCTTGACCATGTTGCAGCCCATCGCCCCACAGCAATCAAAGTGAAAGTAGACTCTGCTGCAGGCGGGGTCACCTGAGGTCTAAAGGCCACTTATATATATATATATACATAGTCTCTTACAGCAGCCCCAGACTTGCCAAGGTATTGTCACTATTGCGTCTTTGAGCTTTGCAGAGGTGCGGTGCCCTTTGGGAGCTTCAGGTTGGTGTAGGATGTGTTGGGCAGGATAATTAGTGCCAGTTGCAGGTCAGACTCTGTTTTGCTTTTCAAGGTCTGCAGTCCCGTGCACTTGTTCACACGTTGCACTGCAATTCCACTGCGGAAATAGTTGGAGAGCTCAAGGGCTTGATGGATTCCACGTTAGGTTGGTACTCGTAGGACAGAGTGCAAGCCTGTTTCAAGTGAAACTTGTCCAGTCTTTGACTTTGCACATGCTGGCGATTGTACTGCTGGTTGTTCGATCTTTCCTCAACCCAGTTACAGATGTTACAGTTCACAAACACTCAGAAGCCCACCTTCTCCGTCCTTCCCTTCGTGGTCACTTTTCTATCATGATCGGTGACATGCACACTCCTGGGAGGTGGCGACTTGCTGGAGGCTTTGAAACAGCATCTTGGCAGCTTTGGGCAGCATCTGTGGGCGAAGCTGCTGGCGGGACTGTCTGTGAAGGGGCCTATTTTGCAAATCATCATGCCCCCTCATGGCCGGAGGATCTGCAGGTTAGTTAACGTGGAACCCCAAAACCACTGGGTTGTAGAGGAAAATGGTCTTCCACCGGTCAATTCTCAGGCTCCATGTTAGTTTGCGGGAGAGTATTTCATCCGTGTTCGCGTCCCTTTTCCTCGGACGAAGTTGGACCGACTGTGACCACTCAGGAAGCCCCAGGGCTTTGACGAGCGCCAGGCGCAGTTCCTCATCCGCCAGGCCAGGTGAACCTTACTTTTCAGAGCACGGCTCAAAGAGCAACCAAAGTGAGACAGGCTCGCAGAAAAGCCGATCATATTATCGTAGTATAATACAATTATATATATCACTTGCACACAAACAGCGACCAAATGCTCCTCGGCCGGTTGTATTCAGCATGGTCATGCCGACACAATAAGAAACAAGGGCAAGCATCCCTGCTGAGGAACGTCTTGCTCAAGTTATGTAAACACATTAACTTTTTGATTATTTAAATCCCGGACATTCGGACATGGATTTGTTTGCACCACTTAGCCAGCAATCTACAAATGCAAGATCTCCACGCGTGTTGCATATCCTTGTTCTACGCTTCGCTCAAGCTTGCACACTCGGTGGTTTCCCGGAAACCTGCGGTTGACGTCGCATCAGGCGGCATTGGGGCTCACCTATCTCCATGAAAGAGGCAGGGAGCTGAGATCAGACGTGGAGAGAAGCAGATCACTCGGGACAAATCAGAGCAGACAAAGGATGCTTGGCCTCCCCCGATGCATCACAAGAACTGCTGCGATGCGATGAGAGTCTGTCTGAGTATATAGGCCAGACAAGCCCAAGCCCATTTTGCATGATTCCATTGAGGCGCCCTGCATTGGTTTTGTTGTTGGGAATCGAAGACCGCACCCATCACTCCGCCGTCCCGAAGACAGTGAAGATAGGCTCCCCTGCAACCATCTGTGCAGGTGTGGCCATGCAGGACGTTTCACTGGAGAATATGCTTCTCCACGTGAACCCTAGCTGATGTCCCAGCAAGCTTTCGAAGACTGAGCAAGATTCAGTCATTATTGCCAAGGGCTGCATGAAGGCCATGGCTTGCATGCCGCGACAGATGGAGCATCCAGTTCATCACATGAGTCTGAAAAGATATGCAGAAGGGTAGAAGGGCAGTTTGCATGGCACTGAGGCAATGGACACTACCAGGCCTGCTTGTGGCATGAGGTGGTAGTTGGGCTTACTAGTGGAATCTTGAGAAATCTATTGAAGTCAGGCGCTGGCAGAAATGCATCAGACAATCCGGCCGCCAGTCTAATGGTTAGATGCGACTTGCTAATACTTGCCATTGGTCCATCGGGAGATCATATCCATACCTAAAATTGCCTGAGGAGGTGTTCGACATTGTCTTTGAATATATAATTCCCGACTCCAGCAGCGGAACCGGGGGCTTCAGAGGATTTGGGATGGGTAGGCGTATTAGTGTTGCCTCAGTAGGGTTGGCTTGAGCTTGCCCAGGTCCCGAAAGGGGGGCTTGTGCACTTGAAATTTACCTCGCTTGTGCACTTGCAAATTTACCTCGCTTGTGCATTTTTTCTACTAGTACTACTACTACTACTTCTACTACTCCTTACTACTGCTACTACTACTACTACCACTACTACCACTACCACTACCACTACCACTACCACTATACTACCACAACTACCACAACTACCACTACTACAAGTACTACTCCTACTACTACTGCTACTACTGCTACTACTACATCATACTACTGCGACGAAGACCACGACGACGACGACCGCGAAGACGCAGACGAATAGTACTACCACGACGACTACTACTACTACTACCTTTACCACTACCATTACTACTGACTACTACTACTACTACTACTAC